AAAACAAAAAAACAAAAAAACAACCAGGGTTGGACTTCTTCAGCAGAGCTCTAGTAGGTACAAAAGTTTTGTCAGCTGAAGAGGATTGCTTCACCATTACAAGACTTATGCGGGACAAATGTCTGAAAAGTGGGCAAGCCTGTCAGTGGCCTCTTGAGCTTAACAAAAGCCCTAGTATGTCCCAGTGCCTCACCCCATAAGCTAGCAAGGTTTTTAACTAAGATTGAGCCATAACAGAGAGTCCAAAAAGCAGCAGTACTGTTCTATTTACTGGGGATTTTAGGATTCCTGGAGAGTGACCAAAGGATTCAGAAATGTTACAAAAAAAAAAAAATTAAGAGTAGTAGTGAGACCACTATTCAGACCCTGATCATCTCCAGTCCAGCAGTTACTGTCACAAGTCCCACAAATCCCAACATGTTGCTCTCTCATATACCTTTAGCAGGAATGTAAATTGATACAGTCTTTAGGGAAATCAATTTGGAGGTGCCTTCAAAATTTTTAATGCACATACCCTTTGACTTAGTAAATCCATTTCCAATTCTGGGGTAATAGTTGCAGAGAGACACTCACACATGAACTCAAAAATAAATGTACAAGGATATTCATTGAAATCTTGCTTGTCCATCAATAAAGAAGCGACTGAATAAGTTGTAGTATAGCTAAAAAATGACCTGGTTATACACTTGATAAAAAGAATGAACAAAATCTGTAAATAGAATGTTCATGGTAAACTGCTGAGTAAAAATATATACACAATTATATTTTTGAGTGAAAATATTTTATTTGAACACTTATTATTTGAATTTGTCTACAGTGAGCATATAAAAGATTTCCAAAAGTACCCCAGTTATTACCTTAAAACTAAACTTTAGAAGTTGGTAGATGAATTTTTTTTATTTTAAAAAATCTTTATTGTTATTATGTTGCTTACCCAAAAAATTAAAATTGGGAGCAAATTAATTAAAATTTAGAATGCACTTTTTTTAGGTTGAATGTAGGGAATTACACTTAACTCAGATATCTGAACTTAAGAAGAAATATTTTACATATACATCAATATATACATATACACACATATGTATTGCCACAGTTCTCATAGTATGGTTTATAGACTCCTGGAGGCCCCAAGGTCTTTTCAGGGCCATGAAGTCAAAACTGTTTTCATTACAATTCTAAGATATTACTTTTCACCATGTTGTCTTTTTAATGGTATAAAAGCAATCGTGGGTAAAAACTGCTTGTGCGTTAGCACAACTCAAGGCAATGCTATCAAACTGTAGTCGTGGTTAATGTAGTCTTCCCCACTCAGCCCTCAAAGGGAAAAAAGCCAATTTTAGTATGAATATCCTTAATGAGGCAGTAAAACTTAACTTTATTAAAATTGACCCTTGAGTACATGTATTTTAAATATTCTATTTTGTAAGGAAATAGGAAGTATTCATAAAGCTCTTCTGCTATACATTGCTTGTTTCAGATACATTGATTGTCTCCAGAAAGACACTGACACAGCTCTTCTGATCACAAAGCTGACCTAACCGCTTTTTCATGGAACACAATTTTTATTTGAAAGTGTGACTGACAGATAAATTTTGGTAATTCAGACTTGTGTATTTGGCAGACATTTTCTGAAGCCTGCCACTTGAAGGAAAACAGCTGACAGTATTTGTTTCCAATTATAAAATCCAAGCTTTGGGGCAGAAATGAGGATTTTTGCAAAATTGTGTCCACCACCATTGGTTTACAGTTTCCCAAAACTTTTAAAAACTTTCTGAAGAGATAGTGGTGATATTAACAAATGTGGTTTTGATATTATATAATTAAATGTGTCGATATTTGCAAGACCCACATAACTCGGTGGACCAGTATTTCCCAAATGACCAATGCTTGATGTTACAAAACCATGCACAAGTAAAACGACCATCCAAAGGTAGACCACTGGATTTTAATGTAACAGAGTATGAAAATGTATCGTTATAGTTTCAACCTTTACAAAACTAACAGTTGTTAAATTTTGGTGTGGTATTAAACTGAATAACCACAGTTATCTGGAAAATACATTAAAATATTTCTCCCTTTTTAAACTACATATCTGCATAAGACCTGAATTCCTTCATATTATTCAACCAAACACTGTATTTCAACTGAATGAATGTGGAAGCAGATAGGAGAATCCATCTGTCTTTTATTAAGCCAGACATTAAAAAGTCCACTCATCTCATTAAATCTTTTCTTGTTTGGAAAGATAAATTTTATAAAAATATGTCACTCATGTTCACATTTATAAAATGAACTTACAGATTTTTTTAATTCCTCAGTTTTAATCTTTGATGTCGATAGACAAAATATCGAATAGACAAACCCCACAAATCTAAATAAGAGCTCTTTGGGTCTTTAATAATTTTTCAAAGTGTAAAGGGGTTCTGAGACCAAAAAGTCTCAGAACTGCTGCAGTACAATAGTATAGCAGTTGTAGTGGAGGCAGAAGAATGGAGGAAGATGACCTATGGAGCCACTGCCTGGTTTTCAGTCTCTTTCCCACTTAGCCACTGCTCATCTTTAGCCCAACAGTCAAAGCTTGGGAACAAGAGCTCTGAACTGTGTTCTGGGTATCTCTAATGTGAGTCTATGAAAGAGAAAAGGCACTTCTTTCTCTCCTCCTCATCTAAGACTCCAGATGAGACTTGGAGTTTGCTCTGGGTAAAGAGATTAGGAAAGGGCAGATGAGAGTGAGGCAACTTCCTAGCCATTAAGGAGTTTATTTAGAAACCCCAAAGATAGGTGGTAAAGACAAGCTATTAGGGGCCACAGCTGGTCTGCTTGGGCTCAATAGCATGGACAGGGAGGGGCCCAGGACATCCGCTAAAGCAGCAATACTGGGATTTCTTTCGCCCTGCTCTGGCCAACTTATTAAAATGGCCTACACCTTTCAGTGACCTATAAGAACCAACAATTCTTCTAGGCCACAATACCTAGTACCACATGGCTAATTAGAATAGGTCATGAAAACATGAAAAGAGATCAAGAGTAAAGAGAAAAAAATGTAAACCAACATAGTAACAACAGCTACTTTCCCACATACCTCCCCTTCCACCCCCACATTCACCTAAGCCTCTCCCTTTCCCTCCCATTATCCACCCCTCCCCTGGCCTGAGCCTTCTTTCCTTTGGCTATTACTGATTGTTAAGGGATATAGTCAGTAGGATGGGGAATTTAGGGGTAAGGCATTTCACTATGATTTGAGTCTTCTCTGTGCCATTTACTGGCTGTGTGATCAAGCAAGTTACTTTCCTTCTCTGAACCCTCAGTTTTCTACATTCTTTCAGATGAGTTGATCGTCTAGCTCTGATCCTATAGTTATTAATGAACAGAAGAAGCTAAAGACTCTGAAATAAATGTACTGCCATTGAAAAGAGCAGAGGATCTGGAGAAGAAATATAGCTCTATTTGCATCACTACACATTATCCCCTTTGGACATGGATCTATTCATAGGAGGTGAACAAACACAGGTCTCTGAAAACAACCTGCAGAAACCTCTCAAGGCCATAGTTCTTCCCTTGGGTTCACTTAGCTAGCATGCTCCTGGAGTTGGTATTGGAGAACTCCCCAGTTCTTGCCCAGCAGTGGTGATTCCTTTGGTCTTGGAAGCCCTAGAGGTTTTCAACCTCCCTACTGTAACTCTGCTAATTAGACCCCAGACTCTGGCCCCTACTATTCTTTTCATTTTTAAAACAGCTTTATTGAAATATAATTTGCATACCACCCAATTCATCCAAAGTGTACAACAGGTGACTTTTATTATATTCACAGTTGTACAACCATCATATCTGTTTTAGAACATTTTCATCATCCCTAAAAAGAAATCCTAAATCCACTTGCCACTATCTCTAACACCCCAAGTCCCCAGCCCTAGGCAGCCACTTGTCTACCCTCTGTCTTTAAAGATTTGCCTGTTCTGATAGTTCTTATATATGGAATCATAAAACACATGGTCCCTTGTGACTAGCTTCTTTCACTTAGAATGATAATTTTCAAGGTTCATCAGTGTTATAGCATGTATCAGTGCTTCATTCCATTTTACTGCTGGATAATATTCCACTGTATGTACATAACACATTTTGTTGATCTCCTCATCAGTTTGGGTTGTTGAATCATTTGGGTTACTTCTACCTTTTGGCTATTGTGAATAATACTCCTATAAACAGTAGTGTAACAGTGTCTGAGTTTCTGGTTTCAATTCTTTTGGGTATATACCTAGGAGTAGAATTGCTGGATCATGCGGTAATTCTATGTTTAACTTTTGAGGAACACAAACTGTTTTCCAGGGCTGATGTACCATTTTATATTCCCACCAGAGACGTATGAGGGTTCCAATTTCTCCACATCCTTACTAATACTAGTTATTTATAACCATTCTAGGGGGTATGAATGATATCTCCTTGCGGTTTTGATTTGTGTTTCTCTGATGGCTGATACTGAGCATCTTTTCATGTGTTTATTGGCCATTTATATATCCAGATAAATGTCTATTTAGATCCTTTGTCCATTTTTAAATTGGGTTATTTGTCTTTTTATGACTGAGTTGTAAAAGTTCTTAATAAATTCTAGATACAAGTCTGTTATAAGATATGATTGTAAATATTTCTCCCGTTCTGTGAATTGTCTTTTCCCTTTCTGGATAGTATAATTTGGAGCACAGAAGTTTTAAATTTTGATGATGCCCAATTAATTTTTTTGTTGTTGTTATTTGTGCTTTTGGTATCATATCTCAGAAACCAGTGCCAAATTCAAGGTCATGAAGATTTACACCTATGTTACACTTAACTCTAACCCTATGTTTTCTTCTAAGAAGAGATAGTTTAACTCTTAAATTTACATTTTTGATCCATTTTGAATTAATTTTTGCATATAATGTGAGGAAGGGGTCCAACTTTATTATTTTGCATATAGATGTCCAGTTTTTCCAGCACCATCTGCTGATTTTTTTGGGGGTGGGTGGGTAATTAGGTTCATTTATTTAATGGAGGTACTGGGGGTTGAACCAAGGACCTCATGCATGCTAAGCACGCACTCTAACACTGAGTTATACCTTCTCTTCACCATTTGTTGAAAAGACTATTCTTTTACCATTAAATTGTCTTGGCACCCTTATCAAAAATTAATTGACCTAAGTGTGAGGGTTTGTTTCTGGACTGTCAATTCTGTATGTCTTTCCTGACGCTGGTACCACACTGTCTTGATTACTGTAGCTCTGAATTAAATTCTGAAATTGGAGAGTGTGAGTCCTCCAACTTGGTTCTTCATTTTCAAGATTGTTTTCACAATTCTAAGTTGGCCTCTACTATCCCTACCCTAGGAGACAAGGCTTCACCCACACTGCTTCTTCCAAGGTATTTATTATGGTAACCTACAGCCCTAATCCTCAGACTCTCCAACCTCATCTTGCAATTTTCTCTCCCTCGCTTCTCCACTCTAGCTATATGGATGGGCCTTTTCTCAGTTTCTCAAACATTCTGAAGTCCTTCCTGCCTGAGAGCCTTTGCTCTGATACTCCCTTTGCCAAAAATGCTTCCCTTCCATTCCCCACCACACCCCACCCCCAATTCCCAAGGCTGACTTCTTTTTGTCATTCAGGTATTTGTTCAAATGTTAATCTATTGTAGTCACCTACCCTCTTTATTGCATTAGCTTTTTTTTTTACATTAGCTTTTACTATTCACTTAAAACTGTCTGACAGTCTTATTCATATATCTTTACATACTTACTTATTTTTGTCTCCCTCTACTAGAATGGAAACTCCTGGAGAGCAGAGATCTTGTCTTATTTAACACTGAATTCCTATACATAGAATACTGCCTGGCATATGATAGATATTTAACACATATGTATTTGTTGAATGAATGAATGAATGAATGAATGAATGAATTGATTAGTCAAGCCTTGGACAGCCCCTACTGTGAGATTCAGCACCAGAAAGAGGGGTAAGAAGCAATGAACTGATCTTCAAACCAGAATTAATTACTTTCCTTGTAATCACCTTCTCCCACTTTGTACTAGGTGGCAGTTCCTCCCTCCTTTTATTCAACAGCTTCCCCCAAATCCTTCTTCTAACATATGTCTGCATTTGAGAAGTAAATACAGACACATTCCTGCCTTCCCCAATCTATGCTCTGGATTGCTCTCAGGAAAAATGATCAAAGATGTCTCTGACCATAGTATATGTGGACAAGTGCACACTCAGGTCCATTTGCAAAGACAAAAGTCTATAGTGTTGGGAAGCATGAGGCCACTGGACAGAAGAACACAGATCTAAGAAGGCAAGAACCCAGAACCTCAGGGAGAATCAGAACCCTAGGCAGAGACTCCAGGAATTCATATTATAACAACCTTTGATTCCAATGCCACAAAATTTTGAGAACCATTGTCCCACAGCTACAGACTGGAGAGGAGAGAACCTAGGTTACTGATATGGAGACATTTCCCTGGGGCTTGGGAGGCTCTAATAACCCTCTATTCAGCCCTGGGTCTTTCATCTAAAGATCTTAAAGAATGTTGAAGGCATCAATTAACCCTTGCAGCACCCTAGAATCCAGGCTCTTGGCTCCATTTTACTGACAGGAAGCTGAAGCCTATAGGTTAGAGCCAAGAAAGTATCCCAGGCTCATATGGTCTAGACTGAGCAAGCTCAGGGCTAAGTTTGACGCCAGTACTGACCTCAAAATCTTTCTCTTATGACATTGGTTCCCAATCTAAGGACTGTAGAACTCTTAAATTTATGTGTATGTTTACACCCCAACAGGCAGATTATAATTTGGCTGATTCCTTGTCACCTTAAAGGCCTCCTCAGAGAAGCCATCCCTGAACATCCATCTTAAGTAATGTCTTCTCCCTGTCCTTATTATATTACCCTGTTTGATTTTCTTCAGAGTATTTGCCTTTATCTGAGATGATCTTATTTGTTGTTCGTTACTTCTCTCCTTCCCTGTAAATGTAAACTCCATGACGCCAGAAACCTTATCTGCCAGGACATTGTTGATGGTCAATAAATATTTGTTGACTGTTTAAATAAGTAAGTCTAAACAAAGATGTTTTCAACAATATGAAGATGCTATTGAAATGAGTAAAATATACAATTATCTAAGTTTAAATGATAATTTTGATACATATTTTTCTCAATCAGTAGATACTTAGAATATAATATTAGGATCCAAAACAACTAAAATGCTAGGTTAAATGTAATTTTTAACTTTAAAATTCATAATGAACTAGCACAAAAGTAATGAGTTAGAATGATCCCAAAACAAATTGTAACCAGAAACACCTCTCCATGAAACATTTTCTTACTTCAAGAATATTCTCCTGGTCTTGCTCCCATATCACAGGCCACTCATCAGTCTTCTCCTTTCCTGGTTGCTCCTCAACCTCCTACCTCTAAACACTGGAGTATTCCAAGATTTGGTCCTTGAATCTCTTCTCTAACTGCATCCACTCCCTTGGTTAATCTTGCTATCTATTTTAAATATAATTCATATACTAATAAACTTACAAATTTTTACTTCTGAATCAGACCTCCCCTCAAACTTCATATTTGCATGTTCAGCTGCCTATATGACATCTCTACCTTATTATATAAAAGGCTTCATACTTAAGATGTCCAAATGTGGAATCACTTAATGGTAATTCCATTCTTCCTGTTTCTTATGACAAAAACACTGTAGTCATCCTTGACTTCCCTTTTTCTCATATCCCAAATGAGTAGAGGGAGGAAAATGGAAAAGAAAAAGAAAAGACAGGAATAGCTCAACCAATCCAAAATAAGACAAGAAAAAGGAAAAGAAACAGAAAAACAGAACAATAGAAAACCAAATAAAACAAAACCAAATATATCAGTAATCACTCTAAATGTAAATGTATTGAGTTCTCTAGCTAAAAGACATTATCATCATTAAAAAAAAAGACATTATCAAATTGGATTTTAAAAAACCACTAATCTGATTCTGTGGTGGTAATAATAGATACACTTAAAATATAAAAACACGGAAAGGCTAAAATTCAAAGGATACCAATATACAATATAGGTAAATTCTAACCAAAAAGAAAGCTTAACTATATTTCTAGAAGAGAAAATAACTTTTAAGCAGAAAGCATTATTAGTCATTACAAAATAAGATCAGTACAAAACTATAAATGTATCAGTTAATTAGGAAAATATAGCCATTCTAAACTAGAAAGCACCCAATAACACAGCTATTAAAAATACCTAAAAACAAAATTGACATATCTACAAGGAGATATTGACAAATTCATTATCATAGTATATTAACATTCCTCCTCCAGTATTTGATAGTTCAAAGAGACCCAAAAAGAAGTTATGAAAGATATAGAATGTTTTGATCAGCACAATTAGTAGGCTGGCCTAATAGGAACAGATAAAAAATTGCTTCCCAAAATTGGAGCATAAACATTCTTTTCAAGCATACATGGAACATTTATGGCCAGGTCATAAAGTTAGCCTCACAAATGTCTAAATGCAGTTAAATTAGAGATCAGTTACAAAAAGATAATTAAGAGGAAAAAACATGTTTGGAAATTATTAAAATGTACTTCTTAACAACATATGGGTCAAAAGGAAAATCACAGTAGGAATTAGAAAAAACTTAGAAATAAATGATAATGAGAATACTATAATCAAAACTGTGAGATGCAGCTAAAGTGTACTTTGAAGAAAATCTATAGCAGTACTGCTTACATCAGGAAGTAACTCAGGCTCAAAATAATGAACTAAGATGTTAGAAAAATAAAATGGAAGGAAATATTAAAGAGTAGAAATTAATGTAGACTAAAATAGACTAACTTCTGGCAAGAGTAACCAAGAACCAAAAAGAAAAAAAGAGAATGCAAATAATATTAAAAATGATATGGAAACTATAGCTAAATGTGCTACATAGATTAAACAAATAAAGGATATAATAACTTTATGCCAATAAATATGAAAACTTAGATAAAATGAATAGATTCCTAGAAAAATACAATTCACCAAAACTGGCTAGAGAAGAAAATAAAGAGCCTGAAATTCCTACAACCTGAACCTAAAACTGTGTTAAAAAATATAGTCTTTAATTAAAATAAAAAAATCCAATAACCATTAAAGAATTTCAGTTAACTTTCCACAAAGCAAGCACCAGGTCCAGATAGCTTCAGCAGTGAATTCTTCGAGCCAACAGTAAAATGAATAATTGAATTGTGGTAGAGTCATGGAACAGAGTGCTACACAGCAATGAAAATGAACAAACTACAGCTGCATCAATTCACATGATTGATTCTCAAAACAATGCTGAGTGAAAAAAGCAGTTACAGAATTCATACACTGTGATTCCATTTATATAACATTCACAAACAGGCAAAATAATAAACACATAAACATACATAAATAGATGTTAAAACTATATGAAAAATGAGAACATAATTATTAGATAATTTATAAATTTAGATAGTGTTTCCATGGAGTTGGGGATACAATATTGGGGGTACTTCTGAGTTACTAAGAATATCCTATTTCTAAACCTGAGTGTTGGATACACAGGTGTTCTTTTTATTGTTACTCATTAATTCTCCTCCTAAGTATATACTCTGGAGAAATTCTTGCACTTACAGAAGATATTTTATATACTCTTTTGTGTATATGGTATCTTTTTCAACTTATAGCTATTTATTCTATGCAAAAAGAGTAAGTTAAATATGTATGTAGTATTGACATGGGAAAAACATCTAATGCATAGTAAGTGTCAAGTGTGTTTATAGAACTCAATAAATCTGAATAATATGCACTAAAATGTGAACACTAGTTATCTCTGGGGTAGTTTCCATTTCAAAAATTATACATTTCTGTAGTGGTCCAATATTTTGCAGCAATCTCAATTACTTTTGTGGTCAAAAACACCCAAAGTTTATTTTATATGTGTAAAAAAAAAAAAGAAAAACTGTTTTAAATAGAGGAATACTTATTCTGGAAAGAGGGACTTTTTTTCCTTTTGTAGACCAAAAAGAGTTCCATGACAACCCCCTGATTCTGTAAAAGACAATCTGTGAGGACAGAAAGTTCGCAATAGCAAGGGCCTCTGGACTCAGGTTCGTTTAATGGGGGTAGAGAGTCAGTAGGGCCTCCTCAGTCCCTCTGGCTTACCAGACTTCCCTAACTGCAATGCCTACCTACTTGTTCCCTGCCACTCTCCACCCCCAGCTCAGGAGGGTGACTGAGGTCTTGGCCAGCTGCCTTCCAGTCCTGCCCCACTGTTCCAGTTTTCCAGATGACTGAGCATCTGGCAGTTAAACCAAAGGACAACTTCCGGAGTAAATACCTGTGAACAGAGAGAAGACATGGTGGGGTCAGAGCAAGTGCTCAGGGACACAGTAAGGCAAAGAACAGAGCCAAGCAGAGATAGGGGATAAGGAGAGCTCAAGAGATTCTTGTTCTGGGCCAATGGGTGATTTGTCTCCCTCAAGCCCCCAGAATTTTCCATTGTAAGTGGTGGGGGCTCTTAGGCTTGGAGAGCCATGGAGTGAAGGCATTCTATGGCCCCAAAGAATTCAATTTATCAAGGGGGGAAAATTCCAGGCGTTTGCGTATGCTGCACCCTTTGCCTAGAACATTTTCCCTCCATCTAGCCTGGCTAGATTCATTCTTCAGATTTCAAATTATGGACCACTTCCTCTTGGATGCCCTATCCAACTCCCAGGACCGTACCTTCACCCCCTCCAAGAAGGGATTGGAAGCCTCTCTGCTGCCACAGCCTCTCCTTCCCTTAGCCAGCACTATCCCACTGTAACACTTGCCTATTTATTTTACCACTGGAATTTTAACTTCCTGAGGTCAGGGACCATGACTATCTTACCACGATATCTCTATTACCTGGATACTCCAAAATACTAAGAAAATGTTTTGATAAATGGATGAATAAAATGAAAGAATGGCAAAGAGCAAGTGACAAAGAATCCCTTCACTTGTCTGCAGTGTGGTTCTCTGCAGCCTGTGGAAGGAGCCTCCAAAGCAAAGAAAAGTGGCAGGGAGTTTTATCCCCGCTTCCTCTCCTCCCGGCCCCTTCATTCTTTTGCTACGGTACCCCTCCCTTCCCCACCTCCCATGCCCACTTCCAGTTTGGTGTGAGCTTGAGCTCCCTCTAGCGGCAGGACTTCAGTACCGCAGAGAGCCAAGCCCAGGTACCCTCGCAAGTTTCCCAATTCTTTCCTCTGGAAAGACTCTTCTGCCCTCTTCCCCCACTCTACGGTTGATGAAAGACTGGAGCATGAAGAGAAAATGGGCTGGTCAGCACACTAGAGGTTTCCAAGGTCTCAGCCCCACCTCCCCATCCTAGATGTCAGGGGCACTTCTCTCATATCCTCACCTCATGCTCTGTTTCCTGGAGCCTCCACTCCTTACTCCTACTCCAGCTAATTCACAGAGATGTTGATTTCTGGAACCTTTGGCTGATACATGAGCTCTGACTATGGAAGAGAGATCCCAAGATGAGCTGGGAATAGAAAGACCAAGAAACCAAGACAGAGAGCAGAGAGAAAGGGACCAGAGAGTGAAAGATATAAACCCACATTGAGACAAAGACCAGGGTTGAGAAAGACAACCCACTTAGAGCTGTGTCACCAGCCCGTTCCACCCCCATGGGGTAATGAACTAGGGCCCCTGCCCTATGAAGAAAAACTTCCCTCATTCCTTCAGGGGACCTATGTTAATATGGAGCTGAGGAGTGATTGTGTTGATCAAATCTTCCTGGAATCCCTCCCTTGTTCTCCTGAGAGGGCCCATCCTGGAGCTCACATCTTCACTGTCACTTCCACTGAATGAGTACTCTGGCTCCAGCCCCTTCTCAGGAATGCTTCTCTCCTTCTCTGACATCAGCTCATCCAGCCAGAAGAGTTCCCGCGGTGAGAAGACCCACTCCAGTGCCTTTCGGATCCCCACCAGGCCCAGCAACTGCAGGGATAGAAACAAAGCCCAGGGCTGGCTGTCAGCAACAGCATCAGGAACACTAACAATAGTAACATTCCCTGAGTACTTCCGCTGTGCCAGGCATTGTGTATAGTTTCAGTGAATGTAACACATTCACTTGAATTGGATATAATAATTACTCCCATTGTACAGAGAAGGAAACTGAAGCCCTGAGAGTTTAGTAACTTCTCAGAGGTCGCATAGCTAGGATGTGGTCACCAGAGTGGTCCCACTGCAAAGCCCATGGTTCTTGACTTCCTCAGTAAGAACAAGGCCAGAAGCCACTTATGTTATCAACTCACTGAGTAACAAAAGTACCAGCATTGCCTCTCTCAGGGCTTCAGTTTTCTTCTGGGCTTTACATCACTATCTGTGGTTGATCAGCCCAAGGAAGTTGAACCAAGTGTCCCAGGACTGGCTCATCTGTAGCCATCCCTTGGCCAACTTTCTTTGTCCTAGGATTCCCACCCAGTCAGACCCAGGACAAGTGAGAGAGGAAGATTCTTCCTCTTGTGGAGGCTTTGGCGCCACCCTCCCAGGGTCAGAGTCTCCCAGGAGCGATCAGGACACCACCCAGCTCTGCCCTGAGTCACCATGAGGGGGAAGATGATGGCTGCAGGGGTAGACTTGATTATCCAAAGTAGACCCAGGCAGGCAAGCTGGATGGCTGTGAAGAGGTGGACCCTGCTCAGAGGCACATGCCGCAAGAGCAGAAGATCCGGCTGGTGCTTTGCTGGCATCAATAACAGTTGCACCCTCTTCGTTAACTGGGGGAACAAGAGGAAGAAGAAAGCAGGATACTCAGATAGCCTGGTCGGTGTCACTGTTAGCTATCTAAGCCCAGCATGGCAGGAGGGTGCGGTCAGAAGGCTCCCTTGGTCCCCTCCCCATCCAGAGTGTGGCAGAGTCTCTGTGCGCAGCAGAGGGAGGAAGAGAGGAGAGGAGGGGAGTTGACAAATGCAAGCAGGAGGTACCAGCAGAAAAAAAAAGAAAAGTGGGGTTACCTGGTGATTTTAATGTGCTCACCTGGATGCTGCTAATCGCTCCCACGCCCATGTACAGGAAGATGCCATAGAGCACAGGCATCGGGATGTACTGGTAGAGAGAAGTGGAGAACTGGCAAAGGAGTTCACCGGATACCCGCCTTTGGCTCCAACCTCACCTTCCAGCCTCCAGCATCTAAGCATACCCAGGTCTTTCCCTTCCTTCCCACTTTGCATGCCTGATCTCATTGAATCGTCACATCAATCAGATGAGGTAAATCCTATAATTGTCTCCATTTTACAGAGGGAGAAATTGGATTGCAGAGAGTCTAAGTAACATGCCCATAACCACCTCACTCTTCTTTCTCACATTCCTCTCTGCTCTCTTTTTTCTTGCTATACTGGCCTCCTTTCCTTCCCTCAATACGCCCAAGTTTATTTCTATACCTTGCAAGGCCTTTTGCTTTGCTATTCCCTCCACCTAAAATGCTCTTCCCTGACCTCCTTCTCACTACTCATGCTTCTCACTACTCATCTCATGACACCCCAGAAAGGCCTTCTCTGATCGTCCAATCTAAAGTAGACCCCCTGTGCTCTTAATCACCTTACCCTCTCTTATTTTTCATAGAAGTTATAACTATCCGAACTAATTCTGTTCTATTGTTTTAATTGTTTCTATCTGTCTCCTCTCACCAGACTGCTAGATGTGGATGATCTCTTTTGATCATCACTGTATCCCCAGTCCCTGGAACAGTGCTTGGTGTATGGTTTATGCTCAGTAAATATCTGCTGAATGAGAGTCACCTAGTTAGTAAGTGGCTGATCCGGTCCATCTGGCTCTTTAAAATGCTCTACTCTCACCCAGCCTCCACGACCTTTCCCTCCCCTAACCTCTTGTCATCCTGCCAGTCACTCTTGTGTGCCATTCTCCATACCCTCCTTGACTGCTTCACTGTCTTGGCTTGTTGAACCTTTCTGCTGTTACTTGTTACTTACTTTTTATTCACGTGTATGTGTTGCTGACAAGGGCATGGTTCCATAGTCCTTTTCAGTACTCCCCGCCTCCACACCCCATTCTCACAGGTGCCTAGCAGAGCCTTGCACACAACAGGTGTTTTATAAACATGTGGTGAAGGGGAAGTGAAGGGATTTGGCCTCAAAGTTTTTCTGGGGTGTGATGACCACACTTTTAGTCTAAGGCTCATTGAGAGGCTGGAGCAAGGGTAGTGCTTGGCCCCGAGGGATGGTGGCATGTCTACACCCTGCTCCACTGGGTAGAAAGCCCACTGGGTTAGAGTTTGGGTTTTCAGATAGATCCAAGAAACTAGCTCTCTTAGTGGTCTCTTACAAGCTACTTAACCTCTTTAACTTTCAGGTTCCTCATTTGTAAAGTATATATGCCTCTCGGGGTTATTATGAGGATTAAATGAGACCATGTATAGAGAAAACTTAACACAGTGCCTGGTGTGCAGTAAATGTTCAGCCAGCGTCAGTTCTTGCTTTACTTATCATTATTAGTTCCCTGCCCCTGATGCTGGCCTGTCAGGCGAAGGTACCTTGAGTACAGGTGCCAGGAAGATGGAGGTTCCTGTGAGAATGAACACCACCAGGCCCGTCAGCCTCTGCTCTCTGTGGGGACAGGGAGGAGAGAGCCAGGGTCTGGGTGAGCCCTTGGGGATCCCAAGCTGCAGACACTGGCCAGACTCCATAACAGACCCTGGCGGAAGGGAAGTGGAGGGATCCCCCAATAGTTACCTGGCGGGGAGGGGGCCTTAGCTTGGTGTGAAAAATCGGTGGAGAGGGAGGGACAGGGCACTTCAACATGGGGGTTCCTGGCCTCTTCATCAGCTCAAGCTCACAGTTGCTCTTTGTTTTTATTTTGATGGAAAATTGGCAATTTTTATACTACCATAAACACTTTTGTTCCACAATTTGCAAAGTTGATTTCACATACTTTTGACAGTGTGTTTCCAACAAAATTGTTTTTGTGATGGTTACTTTGTAACATCAATGAGATGCTTCTACACTGAGTGGGGATTATTGGGTGGCACCTCATCCTTGCTCAGCCCTGGCTGCCTCCACCCTTATATCCATGATGCTCCTCTTGAAGCCCCTCCCAGTTGCATGGCTAAAAGAGGAGGGAGGAAGATCTGACTCACCCATCTCAGGGCCCAGAACCCATCCATTCACCCCACTGCAGTGCTCGTGGGGCAGTGAGAGAAGCCCTCTGGAGTCATCAGCTTAAAATTTAAACTGTCTCAATTACTCTGCCCTGTACCCACTACCCCACCTTGCACCCACCTCTCATTCCAGCCTCCTGAATACTGGCCTCACCTGATGCCCAGGAAGCTGGGAGCCTCCCCTGGGGCACAGGCTCTGCTCTCTCTCCGAAGACTGTCCATGTGGGCCAGGGAGATGACAGTGGCTGAGACATACCAGGGCAGCCCGAGTGCTGATGTGAGCAGCATCAGCACAGCCACACAGAAGAGGTCCAGGTGGAAGCCAGCTCCTTTCTGAAGGTAGTGGTGGGGCAAAGAGGATGAAACTAGGCCAGACCTGGGCCCTCTGTCCTCTGAGGTAGGAGATGGGGAGCCTGGACCCCACCCTGGAGCTTCCGTCCCTTGGTCTGGGGACCTAGGGTCTTACCTAGCAGGCCTTACCTGAAGTCTATATTTGGCATGGTTGAGGATGACCGCTGTGATCTGCTGGTCCATGAAGATAAGGATAGACAACAGCAGGGCAGGCAGGACGGCTGCCACACTCAGCCACCAGGGGTTGGTCCCAAACGGTGATACCAGCCAGCCACGCCCAGGGAGTGTGGGCTGGGGGAGGGCAGTCCACAGATAGGTTGGAGAGGGTCTCTCAAGAGCACCTCACCTGCACACCCCAGCCTTGGCATTCTTCCACAACGCTCCCCAACCCCTGCCCACCCCAAGACACTGAATGTTAGGTGGGAGCAGTCTTGTGTGTGCACAGCTGGTTCAAAGCAGTCCAGGTTAGGGATGCCAGAGAGAAGAAGGAGGGGGACCCAGCCTGGGGGTTGGGCTGGAACCAGGAGCTCTGGACTTTGATTCTCAGGGTCCCTCCCTCCCTGCAAGAGGAGGAGGTGGTGGATGAGGCCTACCCACACTTCTTGATGTTCAGAGCCCTTCTCCCTAGGCACCCCCGCCCCCAAACCATCTAGGGTGGGGCAGCTCAGGCTCAGACCTGTCTCGATCTAGGGGTGGGGCAGGGCTGGGTGTGTCTGCGTCTGCTCTGATTATAAGCGTCTGTGTGGGGGAGGGGCCCCAGCTGCTGTCTTGGGTTCCAAGCCCCTGAGGCTCACCCAGCAGGAGCCCTCCTGCACTCCTGTCCTGAGGGAAGCTGGAGGGGAGGGCCCCAAATGCACAGGCAAAGCTTCTGTGCTGAGTCAGCACACTGTCATGCCCTGGGCAGGGAGCTCCAGCTACCAGATCAGAGCAAGCAACTGGGGGTACAGAGAAGAGAGCGGGGAGTAGTGCAGTGGGTAGGGCCATGCCAAGGGTAGGGAGAACACATAACAATAATCCCTGCATTTACTGACGCATTGGTATGTGCCAGTCCTGGCACGTGATAGTGCTTTACACTATGTTCTTCTGTGAACCTCAAAATAACCCATGAGGTAGGAACTATTGTTATTTATTATTTCCATTTCACAGATGAAGAAATTGAGGCTCAGAATGTAGGTTAACTTGCCTATGGTCACACAGCTAGGAAATGGCAAAAATGGAGCTCAGACCCAGGGCTGGATGACCAGAACCCATTCTTTTAACTCCTTACCTATAAAAATAGCAACCTAGTAGTCTGTGCTCACTATAGCACACGATGTGTCCTCACAACAACTCTGTGAGGCCATTATACTATTTCTATTTTATGAATGAGAAAACAAGACTAGAGGAGACGTGTGGGATCTACTCATCTTCCTCCTCTAGGGTCGTCTGCTGGCCCTGCTTCGCCCTCTTCCCTACACTCCCAGTTCTCACCTTGAACTCTCTGGGCACCATGAGCTTCGGTGTGGCTAGGCCCAGGTAGGCATCAAGGCAACAGCCCAGCAGAATGGCCAGGACCGAGGAGAAGTCTCCCAGCACCTTACGCACCTGGCCACACGGTGGACACTTGGTCAGGCTGAGGCCACCATCCCCCTGCTTCTGTACCCCTTTCAATTTGCAGACAGGACTCGAGGCCAAGAGCCAATTTTGCCCCACAGAAAGAGAAATGACACTCACCACCGAGGGGAAGAAGCGGCTGGTCTTTACGTGCTTGAGGGCTGTGGCAAAGAGGAAGGAGATAAGGAAGAGGAGGATGGAGAAGAAGGCGATGTCTGGGACCATGTCACAGCCGGGGCCACGAGAGTGGCCTCCCCGCCGGGCACACTCAGGTGGGGGCAGCAAGGATGCATTGACCAGGCCTAGGTCCTGTGTGGAAAGATGGTCAGGGATGGGGTTATAGTCAGTGGAATAAACGTCCACTAATGTCCACTGAGAACGAGCACAAGATAGGAGATCTGCCATAGCAAATGGCTGGGCCTCAGTGACCTATGAGGAGTGGGAAGAGCCAGGAACCCCTGATTTCTTTGGCCTCCACCCTTTCTTTCCCAGGCCTTCCCAGGAACAGGCCCTCACCATGCTTAAGATGTCATCTCTATCTTTTGGCTTTGTGCTTGTCCACTGAGACTCATTTCCTGGGAAGCAAAGAAGAATTCAGATATATTTTCCTCCCCTGGGAAACTTCTCCAGTCCTAATCAGGAGCCTCATCTCACA